GAGCGCCTGCACATGCTCCGGGAGGACTACGAGCACTCGCGGCTGCACCCCGTGCACCCCGCCTCGCTGGACGGACACCTGCCACACCCCAGCCTCCTCACGCCGGGGCTCCCCAGCATGCACTACCCCCGAATCAGCCCCACCGCGGGGCACCAGAACGGACTCCTCAACAAGACCCCTCCCACCGCCGCGCTGAGCGCGCCGCCCCCACTCATCTCCACGCTGGGGGGCCGCCCGGTCTCCCCCAGAAGGACTACTCCTCTGTCGGCAGAGATGAGGGAGAGGCCGCCCTCCCACACGCTGAAGGACATCGAAGCGCGATAAGGAGAGAACAGGCCACGGGAGAGGAGGCCCAACAGCGCCAGACCCGGAGCGGAGGGAGTCAGCGGGCGCCCGCGTCCCTGATGGACGGCGAGGCAGGGGCCCAGCTCTCCCTGTAAACAATGTATAGACTCAGTGCAGATTTTGAAATGTTTTTGTATATTATATGTTGAAATTTTTCAGCTATTTTAGCCAAGTCATATGTTCTCATGTGTCCAACCCTTTTGGTTTCTCGTATAAAACTTTTTGATTTGAACCAAAACAGTGAAGATGACAACACACACTGATGTGTTCATTGGGGAGAAAACAGACAGCAGTCCGCACGAGCCACCGTGCAAGCTCTTTCAGAGGAGAAGGGAAGGCCTTGTACATAGTTGTGTAAAAAAGATTGCTTCATGAGCTAAGGGTTCATATATGCAAAAGGGTAAGATGAAAGCTTTACTTTGTACAAATGTAAATAGGTAAAGATTAAGTAACATAATACATTAATACTTCTTAAAATGTGCTCTTTGCAAACTTAATCTCAGCGAACACGGTCCGTGCGGCTGTGTTCCCCTGTATTGTTAGAGACAGCTAAACCCTTCAACTATGCAATGAATGTTCAGGCTTTTCACAAAAGCCCGCCCAACTCAAAGGAGCCTTTTCAGATCCATTTACAACATACTTAAGGTCATATTTTCCCTGAACAAGCGCTTATGTGATAGGACTCTGTTTTCCTTGCTTATTTTTTCAAATAGAGAAACATCCTCTTTTGCAAATTGGACCCCAGGCCGAAATTTTGGCTCTAAAGTTGCTGCTTGTGGGCTCCTGGGGCAGAGTGTGTCCCCAGAGAGGTCAGAGGCCATGAGCAGCCAGTGCCGGGGAGGCCAGGAGTGGTCAGATGCCAAAATCAGGGGACACGAACAGGTTGCCAGCATCTCACCACCATCAGTCATGTGATTTCACACATACCTCATGTGGGAACCATGCGTTTTTTTAGTGTGTCCTATTTCCTACCCATACACACTTCCTCGTTTTGTCATGAGATTCAGTCACACCCAAACAGATCCTGAAAGAAAGCTTTGAGTTTTCTCAGATGATGGATATGTTTTCACTATTCAGTAACCAACAGATCAAAAGGGCACATTTCCTAATGTGACTCCCTGTAGTCTAGTCAGTGATAAAGTCTGGGAGCGGCCTCGCACAGCCACGGAGCGGAGCGTTTCCAAGGGTGGAAGGTGGCTGAGACAAAGTCCTGTGTGTGCGTGTGTTTTTAAGTTTGCATCAATCTTAATGTCTCCTCATAATACTTTTATAATACATTAAGCCTCTTGTCTACATATTTGGAGAGAATATGACTTTACTAGCAGAGAAATACAATATATCTTGTCTACTGGACTGTAAAATATATGTACGAAATAAAATTAGTTCCATTGGTCTTCTAGTATATTAAAGTGCTATCTGACGTTGTTATCCTGTTTTTGGAGAAAAAAAAAGTTAACTACAGACCATTGTTTCTAATAAGCAGAGAGATCTATTTTAGTAGTAAACTGAAGGTTTAGTTGTGAGCTTCAGAATTTTGTGAACTCCAGATGTTGTGCAGTGGTTTTTTTTTGGCTTTTTTTTTTTAAGACAACTAAAAAGGAAAAAGAATCCAAGGACTATGTACACTGGAACTGTAGTGGTAGCTTCAGTATTGTAAAGAGATTGTTCTATACGGACCTTTGCTGTTTCTCCTGTATGTAATAAAGTCCTTTCTAGACCCTATGTGAACAGAAAAGTGAAGCGACTGACTTCAGCATGTTCTCAGCGGCGGAGCCTTCTTGTGTAATGTAAACTGTGCCATGTTATTAAAAAATGTGAACGAAGCTTTCAGCTGCTTGTCTGTGTGAGCTGGCCGTCCGGCCTCAGGGAGGAGCCCTGCCCGCAAGCCCTGGCTCTGACCCTCCCTGGGCCCAGCCGAGTGAGAGCGGAGGCTGCCCCACCTAGGCATCCACCTGCTAGTGTCTGTAGACGTTCGGGCCCCATAAAAGTTGTAGAACTTTTTATTTTTGTTATGTGCTAAACAAAAGACTGCTTTGGGGAAGGTACTTGTGGATTGTAGGTGAGCCTGTGTAGGCCAGGTTAGCAAGTAGGCCTGCTCAGCGTTTGCTTTCTCTGCATTGGTGACAAACCGGATAGCGGGCCTCTGACCACAGTCTTTGTGTGCCTGTCCCTTTGCATTTCACCTGAGGACGCTGGTGTTGATGCCTTATAGATATTTTTTCCCTTGTTGACTTTTTTCTGTGTCTTGTTGAATGACACGGCACATCCTTCATCAGTTTGCAGATTTCTGCCTCATCCTCAAATTGGTTTTATGTTTTTTTCTAAGATGGAGAAATTATTAAATTTTACTGTGTCAGCTTGATGAGGTTTCTGTTTGGATGTATAGACTGTGCATATTTTGGATTGGTGTTTGTATCTGACTGGAGAACAAGGAAAGCAGTCCAGGTTAGCGGGACATGGGTGGCTGCTGAGTGGGTGTTAGAAGTGAAAGCGGGTGGGATCCAGGAGCCGGGACTTGTGATGGGAGGGTGCCCTGGGCACCTGTGGCTCCACATGGGTGAGTGGGACGTGGGAAAGGCTCCTGGGTGAGGCAACCGCCTTGCTGGCTTGGAAAGTTGATGGCGGGTAGAGCAGGGACTGCTTGGATAACGCCCACTTCACTCAGTTTCCCTCTTATGTGTTAGTACCTGACTCTCAGACCAGAGGAAATAGCTTGAAGAAAAACTAATGGATCGGAAAACCTGATAAACACTGTTTTCCCAAATCAGGCAATTCTCGGACCTTCCGACACTCACCGTGACTGTTGGTGCGCTGTCTCTGGCAGACCTCACTGCCTTGTGTTGTACACCTCCTTTCATGCCGCCATCTGCAATGTCAGGACATGGAAGAGTCAGCTCTCAAAATCAGTCACGGTATTTAATCCCGGGGGCTTGATTCGCCTCATCCTTTGCATATTCCCCCTCTAATTATGTGCAGCTCCTCGGCACTGATGGGCACCAGCACCAACCTGATTCCCTGCTAACCTATAGATGCTCTAATTATCTCCACAGCCTTTGACTGACAATGATCTTGTTACCTTCTAATGGTACATGACAAGTAAAATAGCGACATAATGATGCAATAATTACCATTTTGGAAGGATATTCGCAACAGCATTTGCTGTTTATCCTTTTTCTGCCTCAATCAAGGTGGGTGAGAGAAAATAAGATGTGGCTGTTGATGTTACAGATACGAATGTAGCATAGAAAGAAGTGTAGGAATCTTGCCGTGCCCCCACACCTCTCTGTGTCCATACTGAAAAATTCAGCCTGGGTGGCATTCAGCCCGTTGAAGGAAAGAGGACAACAACAGTGACTTGGGCTTTTACACATGCTCTTCTTTAAAGTTTGCCATCATTTTTTCCCCTATGAATTTCTGAGCAGTTTCCTAGACATGGAAGTATCCTCTCAATAGAACAGGGCAATTTATCAGATAAAAAATTAGACCATCAAACACAAATCCACACTGCGAAATGGCTGCTTCCTTTGGCACCACCACAAACACAAGGTGAGTTTTTGTGTCGCATCTGACCTGCTGGACGCCCGCTGGACCTTGAAGCAGCAGGCAGGAGCCCAAGACCACCCTGGGGCCTTCCACTCGGTGACCTTGAACAAAACGCAGAACCTCCCGAGAGCTGCTGCTTAGTGTGTGAAACGAGACCATCAGAGCCTAACAAGACCTGAAAACATGCAGGTCGTCAGCGCGGAGACACATCGGCGCGGATGGGTTTGGCGTGTGCCTTCCTAGAGCCGATGAAAATTGCAGATGGATAGAGAACCACCCCCACAAAAGAGAAAGGAACTACTTATTTCCTTACTTATTTTTGCAAACTCGGTCGCAATCACAGTGTCAGGAAAATTCTTGACGATCATTTGCTGACATTTGGTAGAACCAAAAGGTGTGGGGTTGGTGCTTCCAGGGTTTCTAACTTGGGGGCTCAGTTTCTCACCTGGTGGGAGGGGGGTTAGGCAGGGTCAGTCTGTGGAACCTGAAGTATTGTCAGTCTGGTTCTGACCTACTACCCTGCCAGGAAAGGTTCCTGAGGCCTCACAGGCCCGCTGGTTGGGTCTGGCTGGCCCGGAACAGCACTGACACCTCCCGGGCCTGTGTCCCTGTCCCAGGCAGGTGCTGGGCAGACAGGCCTTGGCTTCCTCAGCTCTCACTGGATTTGTCACTGGATATTGGAGGCCTCTCCAAGCTCTGTTTGGACTTTGTATCTCCGTTGGGCCTCGGGCTGCTTCTTGAAATCTTATTTGCCTTCTCACACCCTGACCACTCATTCCCAGTGCTTTTTGGCAACTTCATACCTGCCCTTGCTTGAGGGGTCTCTTCCCTCTTCTCAGCGGCCCTGGCGTCAGAACCTGAGCCACCTGCAAGCTCACACTCAAGCACCTCCCTAAAGTCTCCCTGACTGCCCATTTCAGCTCAGCCCTCCCTCTTTGGAAACCTCGGGTGTAACCGTCCTCCACCTCCTCTCAGCCTCTCCTGTCCGGGTTCCATAGCTCTAGAGGCCCGAATGGGTGTGTGCCTGGCAGATAGAGCCACTGGGCTGAGTGGGTGAACAGAAGGCTGCACGGAGCCCTGGTTGTCCAACCTTGACTGTAATGCATGGGCATCCTGATGCAGGGCCCATCTGCACACACACCTGAAACAGATGTAATGAAACAAGACCCTTGTTCTGTGCATTGTTACCGGCGAGATGTGGGGGCTCTGGATTTTTAAGATTCTATTCTCTTCTGATTCATTTTTTTTATGCTGATTGCACCCACGACTTCATTTGGTGTCTTTGGAAATCATGGGTCTCGATCCCTAGCTTGAAAACAGTGTCACAGAAGAAAGTCCCAGACTTTAAAGGGGGTGAGGCTCACCTGGGCGGAAGATCCCGCTGGTGCCTGCTCTTGTCCCACGACATGTCCCTGTTCTCTCACCTGATCCCTCCCTGACCACCCTTCACACTGTGCCGCCTGCACCTGTGGTGCCTGGACACCTGTCAGCCTCATCACCTGCCTTTCCCAGCACACACTGGGCACTCGCACACCTCTGGGCCCTGGTTCCCTCTGCTTTCTCTTTGTCATCCTGCAAGCAGGCTTGCCTCCATGACCTTCACCCCAGGAAGCTTCCCCTGACTGCCCCTTGTCCCTCATCAGAGTTAATTGCTTGGTTTGGTGGTTCTCAAAGTGTGGGCCCTGGGAACTTGTGAGAAATGCACGTCTCAACCCCTCCCTCCAGCTCCTGAATCTGACACTGAGGGTGCAGCCCAGTGATCAGTGGTTTAATGAGCTGACTCCCTGGAGAAACAGTTCTCCACCCGCTAGCCCAACCCAGGATCCTGCTGGATCGCAGAGAGGTTGTCACGTGTTTGAGCCAGGAGGGCGTTTTCTTCCAGGTTCATCCCGATTCCTCGCTGCTGCGTGGTCACTAATTCATGGGTCACTAACACTGTGACATGGCCCGAGAGGTCTCCTTCTGTCTTTCTGTACCATGAAGATAGTAGTAGCTGGTGTTAACTGAGTGCCTTTTGCATGCACCAAGCTTTTAATATGGATTATCTTTCTTAATGTTTCAAAGACCTTACAGGGTATAACCCCATTGGGAAAGTGAGGAAAATGAGGCCCAGAGAGATGAAGTAATTGGCCCATGTTCAAGTGCATAACCTAGATACAGACCCTCTCCCCGAACTGACGCCATGGCCCTGTGTTGCTGCTGAGGAGGCTTGCTGAGTTAATTAGCCACATAAACAGCAATTGCAGGAACATTTAACATGCACTTGGGCATAGCACCACATATATTCCAGAGGCTGCAAACTGATGGCCTGGATTGAATGAATGAGTGAGTGAGTGAATGAATGAAACAAGAGGACAATTTCATTCATGGCTTAATGATGAAAATATGCCATGAACCAAGAACTGTGATTAATCCAAGTCTGTACATCTAAGATCTTTTTTTTTAAATTGGTGGCTTGTGTGGTCCAAAGCAGCCCAACAACTTGTTGTCTTTGGGCCAGAATTATTTTACAATACTGAAATTTTATGTAGGCAGGCCAGCATCATGGCCCCACTGAGCCCATGTTCTGAGGGGCCATGTGCCCTGAGCTGCCTGCAGCGACCCCCCAGCATCCCATATGGCACTGTCCACATGGCTCCCGTAAATGCTGGGCAGATGTTGATGAGCAGTTTGTGACTGTGGATACATGATGCTTAGTATAAAAGTTGTTCAAAACAGTATTCTCCCATCTCATCTGTAAAGTGGAACTAAACTTGTTAAAGTTCCAGGTGGTAGAGTGACATCCAGAGAAGTAAAAACCAGCATTCTTCCCCGGAATTGTACCCAACCCGACGATCTTCACCTGCTAATAATGCAGCAAGGATGCCTTTGCTGTACTGCACACACCCAGTAGCAGCCAGAGTCCATGAGTACGTTAGTGGGTGCAGAATAAATGGACAGCCATCTATTTGACAAACATTGAGGGTGTCCCATTGGCCAACCTCACGCTAGGGGCTGGGGCTCCAGCCGGAGCCAAAAAGACCAGGCCCCTCTCTCCTTGGTAGGCTTACATCCAGGAGCAGACAAGAAGGTGACAGGTTAACCAAGACAAAAATAGCATTTTCTTTGGCAATGTTCATGGAAGGAAAGATGAGAACAGGACCACGTGAGTCATCTTTGAGAGAAATTCCCAGGAAGGAGCATGAAAGCCGAATCCGGACAGGTCTTTGGGGTCTGGTACTAATGGTCTTGCTTGCTAGGACTGTAAACTTCATCCTACGAGCAACTGGGAACCACCTGT